TATTGTTATCTTCATGGAATTGGAGTTGAAAAGGATGAACATAAGGCATTCATTTATTATCAAAAATCTGCAGAGATGAGAAACGCTGATGGAACATATATGGTTGGAGATTGCCATCAAAATGGAGTTGGAGTTGAAAAGGATGAACATAAGGCATTCATTTATTATCAAAAATCTGCAGAGTTTGGACACGCTTATGGAGCATTTAGTGTTGGATATTGCTATCAAAATGGAATTGGAGTTGAAAAGGATGTACATAAGGCATTCATTTATTATCAAAAATCTGCAGAGATGGGGAACGCTACAGGAACATTTAATGTTGGATATTGTTATCATAATGGAATTGGAGTTGAAAAGGATGAACATAAGGCATTCATTTATTATAAAAAATCTGCAGAGATGGGAAACGTTCATGGAATATATGAAGTTGGATATTGTTATCAAAATGGAATTGGAATTGAAAAGGATGAACATAAGGCATTCGCTTATTATCAAAAATCTGCAGGGATGGGACTTGCAGATGGAACATTTAATGTTGGATATTGTTATTGGCGTGGAATTGGTGTTAAAAAGGAGAAGCATAAGGCATTCATTTATTATCAAAAATCTGCTGAGATGTGTAATTCTAATGGAGCATATTTTGTTGGATATTGTTATGAAAATGGAGTTGGAGTTGAAAAGGATGAACATAAGGCGTTCATTTATTATCAAAAATCTGCAGAGATAGGACATACTAATGGAACATTTATTGTTGGACATTGTTATCAAAATGGAATTGGAGTTGAAAAGGATGAACATAAGGCATTCATTTATTATCACAAATCTGTAGAGATGGGGAACGCTACAGGAACATATCAAGTTGGATATTGTTATCTTCATGGAATTGGAGTTGAAAAGGATGAACATAAGGCATTCATTTATTATCAAAAATCTGCTGAGATGGGTAACGCTGGTGGAATGAATAATGTTGGATATTGTTATTTATATGGAATTGGAGTTGAAAATGATGAACATAAGGCATTCATTTATTATCAAAAATCTGCAGAGATGGGAGACGCTGATGGAACATACGAAGTTGGATGTTGTTATCAAAATGGAATTGGAGTTGAAAAGGATGAACATGAGGCATTCATTTATTATCAAAAATCTGCAGATATGGGGCATGCTCCCGGAATAACTAATGTTGGATATTATTATCATTTGGGAATTGGAGTTGAAAAGGATGAATATAAAGCGTTCATTTATTATCAAGAATCTGCAAAGATGAAAGACGCTGATGGAACCTATACGGTTGGACGTTATTACCAAAATGGAATTGGAGTTGAAAAGGATGAACAAAAGGCATTCATTTATTATCAAAAATCTGCAGAGATGGGTCATGCTATTGGAACATTTAATGTTGGGTATTGTTATCAAAATGGAATTGGAGTTGAAAAGAATGAACATAAGGCATTCGTTTATTATCAAAAATCTGCAGATATGGAAAATGCTGGTGGAATATTTGCACTTGGCAACTGTTATTTTTATGGAATTGGAGTTGAAAAGGATGAATATAAGGCATTCATTCATTATCAAAATTCTGCTGATATGGGATACGCTTATGGAACATATAATGTTGGATATTGTTATTTTTATGGAATTGGAGTTGAAAAGAATGAACATAAGGCATTCGTTTATTATCAAAAATCTGCAGATAAGGAAGATGCTGATGGAATGTTTGCACTTGGCAACTGTTATCTTCATGGAATTGGAGTTGAAAAGGATGAACATAAGTCATTCATTCATTATCAAAATTCTGCTGAGTTGGGATACGCTTATGGAACATATCAAGTTGGATATTGCTATCAACATGGAATTGGAGTTGAAAAGGATCATAGTAATGCATTACGTTATTATCATAAATATTTTGGTATGGGATATCCTAATGATTATGCGAAATGTGCACAATGCGGTCTATATAACGCATCACAAGCATGGTGCAAACAGTGTGATTCTTATTTTTTAAAGGTTAATGATTGCGCAGGCGGAGATGAAAATATCGATAATTATATTAAAGAGTCTCAAGCTAAATCCGTAACATATGAGGATGTGATTGAATGGATTCCATGCAATAGATTAATTAATTTACAAGAAATCTACGTTGGATCTGAAAAAGAATTAATGGGAATCTGGTTAGATGGGATTCGAACTGTCGAAATTACTAATCAAGGTTACAAACAACTACGTACACAACCTCTCATAGTTAGTCTCAAGAAATTGCATAGTGTTCAAACTAGCAATTTGGATTTTATAAATGAGGTAATTTTGTGATCGGTTATTATTATTTCTTATTATTGCACATCACTAACATCCATAAATTATTCATCTACAAGCTTAATACAATAATTCAATCGAATAAATATAAAGCTTGTGGGATAACTTTAAACTTAATAGATAGTAAATATATGGTTGTTTTAGCGGATGGATTCGCTTCTCTAAGAAAAGACGATTTCGGTAAATGTTTAAATTGCACTAGATATAATACTTCACCAGCGTGGTGTCAATCATGTGATCCTTATCTTACAAGTCAAGGGTGGACAAGTGGAAATAAGGAGATTGATGAGTGTATCAGAGAATTTCAACTTAAAGCTGCTAAATATAATGAGGTGATCGAATGGATTCCATTTGATAGGCTAACTAATTTAATAAAGATCGGTGAAGGTGCATTTAGTAAAGTTTTTTCTGCAACTTGGTTGGATGGTGTACGAATAGCTGAGAATAAAATAGCGATGCGTAAAGATTGTAAAGTTGCGCTCAAGACTTTACCAGGTTTCCAAACGGGTTCCACAAAATTTTTACAAGAAGTAAGTTAAAATTATATATTTTTATGCACATTTATTATGACTTAATTGAATAATTTGTAAAACCTATTTTCAAGTTTAAAAATCACATGCATTGTAGATTAAAAGGCAGCTCTCTTGAAATATATGGATTAACTCAAAATACAGAAACTAAAGAATTTATGATGGTGTTTCAATATGCAAATAAGGGAAATTTTCGTGAATTTGTAAAATCAGAGTTTATAAAACTCAAATGGCAAAAGAAATTATGGCAACTTTGGGACATATCAAATGATTTGGTCAGAATTCACGAAGCTGATTATATTCACGGTGACTTTCATAGTGGAAATATCTTGCTACATCAATATATTAGCTATATGAAGTGTTATATTGCAGATCTAGGATTATCCAGGAAAAAAGATGATCTTTTTTCGAGAGGTATTTATGGAGTTATGCCCTATATCGCCCCAGAAGTATTGCTAGGTGGTGGTTATACACAAGCAGCTGATATTTATGGGTTTGGAGTTATTATGGCAGAGATGTCAACTGGAGAAAGACCTTATGATGGATATCCGTTTAACACTGAACTCGCAATAAACATTTGTCATGGACTACGACCACAATTTGCACCTGAAACTCCTGATTGCTATGTTGAATTAGCCAAACTCTGTATGGATTCTGATCCAAAAAATCGGCCTACTGCTGAAGAAATTAATCGAAAAATTTGTGATTGGCAGCAAATTCTAAGAGTTCAAGAATATTCTGTAAATAATAAAGAAAAACTTGAAATACGAGAGAAATTTTGATTGCCGATGAATTAATTAAATCTTTACCAATCACATCATCAAGAGATTTAGATTCTAAATTTGCTAGCAAACTTATCAATATACAAAAGATTAAAACATCATTAATTACGTTAAAAAAACAC